TTTTTTGTAGTAGTTGTCATTGTTGTTCGGCAGGCCTGGGCTGGGTTTGAACCCACCAGCCCCAGTGCACGTGGCTGACACCCTAACCACTGAGCTATGGGCACCAAGCCTATTTTATAACCTTTTTTTCATGATGAAAAAAATGCATATTTAAAATTAGCCAGTTGGGGGTCTTTGCCCATAGCTCAGTGAGTAGGGCATTGGCCACATACACCGGGGCTGGCAGGTTTGAGCTGAGCTCAGGCCTGCTAAACAACAATAACAACTGCAACAACAAAAAAGCTGAGTGTTGTGGCTGAAGCCTGTAGTCTCAGCTACTTGGGAGGCTAAGGCAAGAGAATTGCCCTGAGCCCAAGAGTTTGAGGTTGCTGTGAGCTATGATGCCACAGCACTCTACCGAGTGCAACAGAGTGAGACTCTGTCTCTTAATTAATTAATTAAAATTGGCCAGTTGGATTCAATTTACATGATCTCAGTTTTTGTTGGCAATATCTAAAACAGCATACTCAGGGGGTAGTCCAACATATGCCTTCTTCCCTCCATCAGGCCTGGTCAGGATATTGACCTTGGCCAAATGGATGTCATAGAACTTCCTCAACCTATTGAAGAAGGTGCTTGTTGGCCTTAAGATCCACAGTTGAGTACAAGTGTGTTATTGTCTTCTATCTGCATGGCTAACTCAGTAGCTAGAGAGAACTTCATGGTGGCATAGCAGTCAAGCTTAGGGGAGAGGCAAAGTGGAGTCACTGGTCTGGGCCCAGTAGAAGAAAGGACAGCCCTCGTTTGGAGAACAAGGCCAGGAGAGCCTAGCTGTGTCAGACAGTGATGCAGCAATTGTAACCTGCTTTATTCCCTACTTCATTGTACGTAGTTTTTCTTGTCAATAAATATATATGCACAACATTATTTTTTCTTGTCTTTTTTTTTTTTTTTTAAGACTGGGTTTGACTTTGTCACCCAGGCTAGTATGCAGTGGCAAAATCTTGACTCAACTGTAGCCTTGAACTCCTAGGCTCAGTTGATCCTCCTGTCTCAGCCTCCCTAGTAGCTAGAACTATAGGCACATGTTAATTTTTTTCTTTCTCTCATAGAGACAGGGTCTTGTTCTTGCTCAGTCTAGTTTTGAACTCCTGAGCTCAAGAGATCTCATCTCAAGCCTCATCTCAAGCATCTCTCACATCAAGCTAGAACTATAGGCACATGTTAATTTTTTTTTCTTTTTCTCATAGGGACAGGGTCTTGCTCTTGCTCAGTCTGGTTTTGAACTCCTGAGCTCAAGAGATCTCACCTCAAGCATCTCACCCAAAATGCTAGGATTACAGCGATGAACCACTGTAACTAGCCTACCATAATTTACATAAATCCCTTTTATCAGATAAAATTCTTGGGGCTTTTCCCAGTATTATATATTATCTTTATCTACTTTTCTGAGTTTTTTTAAAGATAAATTCTAAGAAGTAGCATTCTTGTCAAATGGTGTATACCAAATTACCTTTTACAAGTACAGTCCAGTTTATAGTCCCTCCAAGAGTATAGAGAATATATCTACTGTAGTATCTTAACCTTCTTTTTAACCTTTCCTGCAAAGTAATAAGTGGAACAAATTTGTTTTAATTTTCATTTCTTTCATTTTTGGTATGGTTGAGTTTTTCTATGCATCTTGGACTTACTATATAAATTGACATTTGATATCTGCATAACTTTCTATTAAAATGTTCATTGTCCCAAATAGGTGAGACTACAGTCAAATGCCACTATACCCAGCAAATTTTCTTTATTTTTTGTAGAGGCAGCATCTCACTAAGTTGCCTAGGCTGGTCTCAACCACCTGGCCTGAAGTGATCCTCCTGACTTAGCCTTCCAAAGTGCTGGGATTACATAGGTGTGACCCACTGTGCCTGGCCCCATTTTTTATATAATAAGAATCATAAAATTAGTGATATGCTATAGTTTTTCTATTTTTGCCATTTGTTATTTCAACCTTTAAAACAGTCTCTCTCTTCCTTTAATGATTCCTTCTTTTGGTGTGATGCTTAGGCCTCCTTATCCTTTTTTTTGAGACAGAGCCGCAAGCTGTCCCCCTAGGTAGAGTGCTGTGGCATCACAGCTCACAGCAACCTCCAACTCCTGGGCTCCAGTGAGTCTCCTGCCTCCACCTCCCAAGTAGCTGGGACCACAGGCGCCCACCACAGCATCTGGCTATTTTTTGGTTGCAGCCGTCATTGTTGTTTTAGCGGCCCGGACTGGATTTGAACCCACCACCTTAGGTATATGTGGCTGGCGCCCCAGCCACCTGAGCCACAGGCGCCAAGCCAGGCCTCCTTATCCTTACTAGAATTGTATATACAGTCATCTGAGCTGGGCACAGTGGCTCAGGCCTATAATCCCAGCTACTCAGGAGATTGACCTAGGAGGATTAGCCAGAAGTTAGAGACCACCCTGCGCAACATAGCAAGAACTATCTCTAAAAAAAATTTAAAATAAAAATAATCTATATTTTTTATGTTCCTTTAATGGTTTAATGTTTTACATTGGAGTATTTCAAATGTATTTAAAATACCTTATCATATACTAGGGTGACCAGACATCCCGCTTTTCAATAATTTTTCCCGTGTCCCGCGGCGTTTTATAGAAGTCCCAATTTTTGGAAAGAATGCACGAACGGGCGGGAGAACAGGAAGGGAATATACAGTTTTCGGCTGCCATGTGGCTATTTCGCCAGAATATGAGTTTTATATTATTTTTGTTAATTTTATAATGTTAAACCATAATAATAACCAATAATTGTTGAGAAGTGATTATTGAGAACTGCTTATCAAAGTTAGCGTTGTTGTCAGGCCCTGTCCTGGCCGGTCCCCTGCCCTGGCCGGTCCTCTGCCCCCGCCCTGCTCCCCGCCGTGTTGTCCGGCTTTACAAATGTTAAAATCTGGTCACCCTATCATATACTAAATCCTTATAAAACTTTGTTTCTGTTCTGAACTTTTCGTTTTATTGATTCCTTTGTTATGAAGACAAGAAGGCATTGCTTTAAGTTAACTTTAAAATGCATTTTAATAGTAATGCAAAACTACTTTCATTCTTTTTTCAAAAATCCTTTGATTTGGTCAGGCAAAGTAGCTCACACCTGTATTCTTAGTACTTTAGGAGACTAAAGTAGGAGAATCATTTGAGGTCAGGAGTTCAAGACAATCTAGCCAACATAGAACACCTCCCCCCATCTCTGTAAAATGGTGTAGAATCATTTTGTCAAGTTTCCTGTGGGGATTTTGATTCATATTATTAAATGTATACAGTAACTTGTAGGAAATTAGTATCTTCCCCTTTTGGAATATAGTATTCTCTACATTGATTTAGGTCTTCTCTTATTCCTCTCTCTAAAATTTATAGTTTTTCCTATATTGTTCCTATATATTTCTAGAAATAGAATGCTAAGTGATATTTCACCTATTAATGTCAAGTGAATTTTTCCTAATAGTTTTTGTTTGTTTTTGAGATAGAGTCTCTCACTTTGTTGCTGTGATGTCATAGCTCACAGCAATCTCAGACTCTTGGGCTCAAGTGATCCTCTTGCCTCAGCCTCCTAAGTAGCTGGGACTATAGGCATGTGCCCCCACAACATCCAGCTAGTTTTTTTACTTTTAGTAGAGATGGGTCTTTGCAGAAATTGGTGCATCCATTCAGCCTATAAGTGACAGCCCTATGGCTTCCTTCTTTTCCCAGAGTTGGCCCTTTTAACCTACCTTCCATCCCAATCTTACCTATACTCAAATACCAGATCCTCCTTGGGGCTTTTGTCACGATACAGAATTTTAATTTTTATCATCAGATAAATCTATCATCAAACTTTTTTTTTTTTTTGAGACAGTCTCTCTGTGTTTCCCTGGGTAGAGTGCTATGGCATCATATCTCATAGCAACCTCAACTTGGGCTCAAGCGATCCTCCTGAGTAGCTGAGACTACAAGTGCTTACCACAATACGCAGCTAATATTTTCAGTTTTTGGAAAGAGACAGGGTCTTGTTCTTGCTCGGGTTGGTGGTCTTAAACTCCTGAGCTCCTGCAGTCCACCTGCTTTGGCCTCCCAGAGTGTAGGATTACAGGTATGAGCCACCACACTTAGCCTATCATCAAAATATTTGTCCTTAACAAACTTAAATTTAGTAAATGTGCCTTCGCCCAGATCAGATTATTCCCCCCCCCAGCAATTCTTTTCCAGATTTTATTGATAACAAATTTTAACTAGGTAAGGGTGCATCTGAAAACCAACTATGCTTTGACATTATTTGACTATTCCTTTCTGGTGACACTTTAGCACCATTAGCCTATGCTATGGCCTTGCCTGATTTTGTTTACTATTGTCTTTTTAAAAAATACTACTTTGCCTCGGGGGGTACGGGCAGTCCCTGGGTTATGAACAAGATAGGCTTTGTATATTTATTCTTGTGTGTGTGTGTGTGTAGATTTATTCTTAAGTTGAATTTGTGTATAAGTTGGAAGAGGCGCATTTACCCTATTACCTGTAATAGTCTCCTTTCAGTGAGTATGAGTCATACACAAGTTGGATGTTTGTGACTCGGGGACCGCCTGTATATAAAGAGAAATTTTGTTTATGTGTGTGTGTGCCTTCTTTATCTTGCTATTTCCTCAACTCAGAAGCTATGTCCAGTTGAGCCTACTTCAGTCACTCAAATATGCTAGTTTTAGTCCTTTATTGCAGAAACACATCTCAGTAAAAATTTAAATCTCTAGTTGGAGTGCAGTGACTCATGCCTGTAATCCTAGCACTCTAGGAGGATGAGGCAGGTAGATTGCTTGAGCTCAGGAGTTCAAGACCAGCCTGAACAAGAGCAAGACCCCATCTCCTACTAAAAGTAGAAAACCTAGCTAGGCATTGTGGTGGGCACCTGTAGTCCCAGCTACTTGGGAGGCTGAGGCAAGAGAAACTCATGAGCCTAAGAATTTGAGGTTGCTGTGAGCTATGATGACACCAGGGCACTATACCCAGGGTAACCAAGTGAGACTTAAAGAAAAAAAATTAAAACTCTAATTGTTTAAACAGTGTTTAATAGTGTAGTCTCCAAAATGTATAAAATAAAGTGAAACTAATATATAGTATTGCAGAGAATGTATTCCAAGTATTAAAAAATAGGAATTCTAATTTCAGCATTTCTTCTTTTACTGTGAGGATTTATTATTTTCACCAATAGTGTTGGTAAAGGATAGATGAGGTCCCAGACAGACATCTATAACATCACTGATATTGTATTTGTGGTTCTCAGGTGTAGTATCAACTCCTGTCTCTCTGGGAGTTTGGTGCATTCTTGATGTGTGTTGATGTAATTGAACCTGAAATTGCTTTTACATGGTAATGTATTTTATGTTTCAAGAGGCAGAGAACATGTTTGTCATAAGGACAGTGGAGAATTGTAGGAGTAGGAATGGTGCTAATAATGGCTGTCCACCTTCATCCCAGTGATTGCTATGCTATTGGACATTGAAGCCAAGCAGATGGGCATATCGGTGTGTGCCTATGTCCTAGCCACTCAGGAGGTTGAGGTGGAAGAATCCCTTGGTCTCAGTAGTTCAAGGCCAACCTGGGCAACATAGTGAGACTCTGTCTCTTAAAAAAGAATTGTAATTAAGGGCGGTGCCTATGGCTCAAAAGGGTAGGGCGCTGGCCCCATATGCCAGAGGTGGCGGGTTCAAACCCAGCCCTGGCCAAAAACTGAAAAAAAAAGAAAAAGTAATAGAATTTAAAGAAGAAATTGAAGCCAAGTGAGAAGTTTATATATTTCTGAACACTGTATCTATTTATAAAATATGCAGGTTCTTTTTTTTTTTTTTTTTTTTGGAGATAGGAGCCTCCAGCTGTCCCCCTGGGTAGAGTGCTGTGGCTTCACAGCTCACAGCAATCTCCAACTCCTGGGCTCAAACGAGTCTCCTGCCTCAGCCTCCCAAGTAGCTGGGACCACAGGCGCCCACCACAATGCCCAGCTATTTTTTTTTTTTTTTTTTTTTTTGGTTGCAGCCGTTGTTGTTTGGCGGCCCAGGCTGGATTTGAACCCGCCACCTTGGGTGTACGTGGCTGGTGCCTTAGCCATTTGAGCCACAGGTGCCGAGCCAAATATGCAGGTTCTTAATAGAAATTTTTGCAGTAATGAAAATACATGCCACCTAGTACTTAATATAGCTGGATTTGCTAAACCCTTTATGTATTATCTCATTTCATCCCCAGTGTAATTATTTTTTTCCTTTTTTTTTTTTACTCTGTCTATCACCCCTGGGTAAGGGTGCCATGACATCATCATAGCTCACAGCACCTTCAAACTCTTGGGCTTGAGCTCCTCCTTGCCTCAGCCTCCTGAGTAGCTAGGAGACTAGCTGGGACTACAGGTCCCCGCCACAATTCCCAGCTAATTTTTTTATTTTTAGTAGAGACAGGCCTCTTGCTGAGGCCAGACTTGAACTCGTGAGCTCAGGCAATCCACCTGCCTGCACGTCTCAGAGTGCTAAGATATGGCGTGAGCCACTGCACTGGGCCAGAGATGGGTCCTCTTATTGTCCCCCCATTTCATATAATGAGAAAGTGGCAGTAACTAGTGGGTAGCAATTCAAAGATTTGAATTGTGGATCTCAGACTCAAGCTCTCAATCCCATACTATCTCCTTTGATTCACTCAATTCAACAGTTTGGTTTTTTATTTTTTAAATATTGCCTTCTAGTTATCATTAAACTTATGAATCTGTCTTATAGGAACAAGTGGTGATGAACTTGGACAGCAGGCTTCTGATCTTCCCTTTATATATATGCTGTAACTTCTTGTATATATCGCCAGAAAAAAGAACTGAAAGTAATCGTCATCCAGAAAATCCAGAAAACTGAGATCTCATCAGTTGGAAACAGTAGCACTTTGAAAACTTTTTAGGCCAGTTTTAATTTAATGGTCCTACTGATAATCACTTCTAAGGTGACTAACAATGACAAAGGCCTTATGAACTGTACAGACAATACAGAAGATTATTCTTATCTTCATTACATTTCTATGCATATATGAAAAACATTTTAAAGCCAAGAAAATATCGGTCAAACCATTTGTTATAATAAAGATGTCAATTCATGCTTTATTAACTTAGCGTCAGTAGAAAATTGCTATAGGTAAATTTCATATGCCTCTGCAACAAAATATAGATTTAATTTTTAACTGAAACTTTGTTAGTGAACCTTAGTTATGTTAGTGAACTTTAGTTATCCAAAGCAAATTTTTTATTTGGCTAAAAGAATGCTAAAGGAATACTTTGGCCAATTACAACTATTTTTTCAGTTGGTGCATTTAAAGCTGTCCTTTTAATTTTTTCACCTGCTTATTATGATTCCTCCTTTTAGTGTAATACCTTTCCAGTATATACTTGTTTTTAATCATTAAATACTTTTTCTATGGTTTCAGAGACCAAGCTGAGGAATTTTTTTTTAAACTTAAGCATTTTCATATTTTCTTTTAATTTTCTGGGAATTTTAACAACAAAAATCAGCTTCAGACCTACAAGTGAACTTGAATGAGGGAAAAATCAGTTTGATTCTGAGCATATTTCTTACATGGTCTTTGACATTCTGTACACTTTTCTTTTAGGTTATGAATTATTTATGTACCAGAATTATACTTTTAAACATTGTAATATTCTCTATGTTTAAAATTATTTATGTTCACATTTTAGTTGGGAATTCTGTTTCCTACTTAAGCTCAGGACTTTATAACCTCTGAATTGAGTGCCTTTAAGTTATACATACTAGTAGAAATTTCATAGTACATGTAAATAAGGTCAGAGGATTTAATCCAGAAGCTGATAATAAAGCATTGATATAAAAATGGAACTTATTTTTGTCAAATGAGATGTATACTTGTCATGACTTATATATGTTGGCTTCTTATGTTTATTACTATTTTGAAAATACCCATGTTCATTTTCTTTCTAGTCAGAGTAAGTACTTCTGTAGTTATTTTTTTTTTTAAAATAGGAATCATTTTATGTGTCTATGAAAGTAACAAATGCTCATTTGGAAAAAGAATAAGTAAACTCTTCTATAAAATGGATCAAAAAAACCCTTCACTGAAACCAGAATTTTTTTTTCTTTCTAGTTAGATATTTTTCCCAATTACTTTTAACTGTTGGAATTTATTGATAGTTTTTCTTTCCCAGTAATATGTCCATAGGTTCATAAATTGCTTTTATTCTTTCAGATTTATCTACTTAATTTAACTTAAAGAAACCCCCAGAGCTGTAATTTAAATGTTTCTAATAGAATGATTTGGCTATATCAAGAGGCTGCATTTCTTATTTTTATATTTGGCTGTAATATCTCTTTCACAAGATGTTGTTGTTGTCTTTGTATGTTATTACAGTTTAAGTGGTCTTTACCTTTTATTAACAATATATAAATACAAAACTTGAATTATTTGAACAATTAAATTTATAAAAAAATCTTGGAAATAAAATAATGTTTGAGTGTATTAATAAAATTAACTGTTTCACTTATGTAAATTAACTGGCAAAATTGGAATTATATATGGTTCCTGTTCATTGGTTCTGCCCTGGCCAAGTTATTTATGTCATCTTTTGGCAAGGTAGTTATTTCTTAAGTCACAAGTAGGTTATATTCTTATTTGAGAAGTTGATAATTGTCAGCTAGTACTTCACATTGATAGCAAAAATGTGTTTTTGTTTTCTTACCAAATACTTTTATGTGTTTGCATTGTTTGTTCTTTTCAATAAAGTGGTAATAGTGTTAAAGTATATAAACTATGGTATATGAAAGCTTTCATGTTTGTCAGCTTTTGGCTTGTAGCCTCTTTATTTTTGCTTGTATATCAGTAGAGATCCTTAAGAGAATATGTTCTAGAATTTCATGCTAAATTATTAAAGAGGGATATGAATTTTCCTTTTTTTTTTTTTTTTT